TCTCTCTGTTTCTGTCTTTCTGGCTCTGGGGTGCCCTTTAGCAAAAGCCTCTCCAAAAAAAAAAGGCACCATATCCTGTCAGTAGTGTTGTCATCTACTGTGTCATCATCTACGGCTGATATATTGGCCCACTGTATTTTGCCACCTTGTTTCTGTCACATGACCCTGTTGTGAGGGCAGGTCGAAAACTCTACTGTAAAGATGTTTTGTTTTGTTTTGTTTTTAATTTTTTTAATTTAAATTTATTTGTTTACGTGCATCATTACAGCATACAAAATGAGATTTTCCATCCAGAGTACACTGTATATTGTCTCAATCAAGCACATCAACATACATGCTATTGTCAACAAATAATTTTCCATTTCTTGTTTCCTGAATGTTTTGCTTTTTTCCCCCCATCCTTGATTCCCTCTTACCCTCTGCCATTTCCCACTCTCTTCCCACACTGTCTCTGGTATCTGTGTTTACTTTCTATACTGTTTTTCCCCCATTTTTTATTGAATTACTAAAGATCTTAATTAATCTAAATGTTTTCATAGTAAACACAGCTGATATATACATTTCCATGAACACAAGTCTAACTTTAGGCATCCTATAAAGTATCACCTAGCTGGGGCTATATATCTTAACTGTGGTCATCGAATGGATTTTTTTTTTCTGAAACTTTTCTTTTTTTTTGTAACTTAATTTACATTCTCTCCCTAAGCATCATCATAGCATACAAAATGTGATTTCCCATCTAGAATATACTGCATAGTGACTTAATCATGCATATTATTATTTTCTACCCCTCTTTCTGACCCTCTGTCCTTTCCCACCCTCTTCTCCCACTGTCTCTGGTGTCTACAATTGTTTCTATTCCTTTTCCACCCACGTTGTATTGATCATACAATTTCTTAAATAATCTAATGAACCTGTCAGTCTCATGTACTTTATCTTCTATTCTGGTTCCATTTTTCCTATTAAATTCTGGGATATAATATTCAACTCCAGACTTGTCCCTATGATTAAGCTGGCCACTTTCTTAGTTTTTGAACTCTTCTTTCCGTGTGTCTGTATTTAATTTTCCTGATATAGCACACCCTTGAGAACTTCTTGGAGATCTGGTCTGGTGCTGGTAAATTCTTTCAGGATTTGTTTATCTGAGAATGTTCTTGTCTTTTTCTCCCACATGAAAGATAATCTTGCCGGGTACAGTATTCTCGGCTAAAATTGCCTTTCTCTTAACACTTTGAATATATTTTCCCATTCTTTCCTCGCCCGCATTGTTTCCGATGAGAGATCTGCTGTTAGCCTGATGGGATGTCCTTTGTAGGTAACTTGGTGTTTTTCTTTTGCCAATCTTAGTATCTTGTCTTTGTGGTTTTGGTCAACCTGGCTATAATGTGTCTTGGAGAAGATCTTCTTGGGTTGATTCTATCCTTTGTATTTCTTGCGACTGGATCTTTCTTTTTGTTTCTTTTATTTATTTATTTATTTATTTTTGAGAGGTTTTCACTATAGGGCGCGTGCACTCGCCAGATAGACAGAGAGAGACAGATAGACAGAAAGCGAGAAATCACCCCCTAGAGGGGATGGTCACGCCATAATCCCTTCTCCTCCATTCTCCTCTCGGGATCTTGGGCACGCACACACACAAGCCCGGCGTGAGTTTTAAGCCACGGGGTCCGGGACGCGAACCATGGTCGGCTATGTGGGAGTCCAGCGACATAGCCATTACGCTAACTGCTGGTTCCCACGACTGGATCTTTGAATGCCTCTCTAGGTTTGGAATAGATTATCAATGCCCTTATGGGTCTCTTCACCTTCTGGAATGCCATGTTTGATGGTATCTAGTACTTCTCGCATATTATTCTCAAATTTTTGTGCCATTTTCTCAGTCTTCGTGGTGGATTTTTCTAGGTCAGCAATTTTCTCTTCTGCATCTGAGATTCTATTTTCTGTATGATCTAGTCTGCTTTTAATACCTTCAAGGGAGATTTTGACTTCCTGTGTTATAGACTTCATTTCTAACAGTTCCGTTTAACTCTTTTGTAAAGCGTGTAATTCCTCTTTTAGATCTTGCAAAAATTTCCTCCCCTCCTGGAACTCGTCAACTTCTTTCTCCTTTCTCTTTAGCAGTTCATTGTCTCTCTTCTCTTCCATCTCTGTTAGCTTCGCCATTATGAATGTTCTAAATTCTTTATCAGACATTTCCATGATTTGCATTGAACTGCTTGTGGATGAAGAGGAGTTATTCTTTTCCCTTGGAGGAGAGGTATTTCCTTGCTTTCCCATATTTCTTGTGGTCCTGCCGTGATTTCTTGTCATCTGATGGATGGTGTGTTTCTTTCGAATTCTTGAAGTTCAATCTGGACAAGGAGAGAGCAATGGCGCAGCAGCCTGTAAAGATGTTATTAATTAGCATTTGTTTCTCAGCTGTGTCTATAGTGTACTTAATTTTGACTGATAAACATCTTTTCATATATAATGTTAGAATTCCAGGGAGTCAAGAAATACTGTTAATATTAGTGTAAAAGAAGTCGTCTTTAGGGAAATGCACAAAGGAATAATGACAATTTTCAGTGTAATGGTGATAGTTTTAAGTTGATGTTACAGCTGAAGATTTGTACCAAGGTTCCAGGGAGGCAGAATCTGTGTCTGTGTGTTTTAGTGCATCTGGGTGGCTGTCACCTGATGCAGTGACAAGTGCAAGGACAGCTATCTCCTGGTCGTGCACACAGGCACACACGTACATGCAGTCTGTGCAGTCTCCATACATCCCTTCCTCAGCCACTGTCAACTCCTATGGTGGCACCACCTTTCGCTCTATACTTTCAAGTCAGAATGGCTCATCAAAATAAAACTTCTCTTCAAAACATTGTTAAGAAAATGAAAAAGCAAGCCGTGAACTGGGTTCTCCTCCCCTCCCCTCCCCCGCTCCCTCCCCCCCTCTCTCTGTCTCTCTCTCTCTCTCTCTCTCTATATATATATATATATACACACACACACACACGTATATATACATACATATATATATATATATATACACCTACATACACACATGCATATATTATGTGTGTGTGTATATACACACACACTTATGTGTATATAAAGCTCAGTTTTGTGAATGGGTGAAAGACTTGAACAGCCACTTTGCAAAAGAAGATATACAGAAGCCCCAAAGGCACATTAAAAGATTCTCAATGTCGGGGCCGGCAAGTGGCATGGCGGTTAAAGGCGCTGGACTCCCACATGGCCAACCATGGTTCAAGTCTTGGACCTGATGGCTTGCTTCTCTCTCTCTCTCTCTCTCTCTCTCTCTCTCTCTGTCTCTCTCTGATCAAACTGGAAAATAATAATGATAATAAAATAAAGTTAAAACAAAATAATTCTTTTAAAAAAAAAAGATTCTCAATGTCTTTCATAGGCTGGAAAAGGCCAATTAAAACCTTGACGAGGTACAGCCTCAACTTCTAGGCTGGCCGCCGTGGAAAAGGCATCCACCTTAATGTGAGGCCGGGGCCGCCAGCACGTGTGCACTGCTGGTGGGCACGTAAGGTACAGCTGGGGGACACTGACTGTTTCTTTAGAATCGAGGCACATGATCTACCCTGTGGGCCAGCAGCTCCTCTCCAGGATGTTCATTGACTCCAGGAAAGCAACACATGTTCACAAAGCCCTCTGCGAGAAGGACCACAGCAGCTTTACACCCGAGGGCAAAAAGAGACGGCCCAGATGCTCACCCACCATGGCCAACTGACCTTGGCAACCAACTTCCCCACGTGCAGTGGAACACCACTGAGCGGAGGGGGCCGCCACAGGTGGCTCTCGCTCCTGCTGTGCTAAGGGGAGGCTGGACGCAGGAGCGTGGCCCTCTGCTTGCGAAACTGCGGGACAGACTGAGCTAGCCTGTGGGGCAGAAACCAGCATGGTGGTGGCCTCTGGGTAGGGGGCATTGGCTGGAAGGGACTTGGCGGCACATTAAGGGTGATGCAGATGTTCTCTATCTTGATAGGGTGTGGCGGCTCAGGTATATCAATTCTTCAGAACTCATTTCGAATTTGCGTTTGCATTTCGTTGTATGGAAAGGCTCAGAGGTCAGAGTTGCTGGGACAGAGCAGCCAGGCTGAGCTGGTTCCAAGCTAGATCCACCCACCCTGTATCTCCTGGCTCAGCCACCTTCTGCCCATGTAATCGTGGGCAGACCTCCTCTCGGCCAAGTCCCAGAGGCCTCGTGTGTGATGCGGATAGTAACGGCCACGCTTTGTCATGCTGCGGCTTGGAATAAAGCGGTCAGACTTAGCCGCGAGCCGGGGCTGCTGCCCTTTTTGCCAGAGAGACTATTGTCAAATGTCATTTCTTTGTAAAGGCTCTTCCGGGAGCAGCAGATGGTATAATGGTTACATTGCTGGACTCCACATGGTCAACTGCATCTCTAGTCCTGGACTTGGCAGCCTAAACTCAACGCCAGACACATGTGCGTTTGCGCCCAAGATCCCAAGAGGAGATTGAAGGAGGAGGGATTGTGTAGCCATTCCCCCGGTGGGGGGGGGATTTCTCGCTGTCTCTCCAGCCAGTGCACACACCCTGTAGCAAAAATCTCTTATAATAAGTTTATTTAACAAAGAAAAGCATGAAATTGAAGGTTCTTTGGGAGACATAGGTAATTCATTTTAATCCTAATTAGGATCAAGAATGAGTCCCGATCCTGTGTGTCTGACGAGGCCAGTGGTGGGACCCACGCTGAGGGATTTCCAGTGCTTGGTGTTCAGGGCATAGTGCTGATGTGCCCCCTGGAAGGGGGCCTGGCTGGGGCAGCACAGCAGGGGCAGCATGGCCGGAGGCCTTCACAGCCCTCCCCCGCCAAGTGCGCACTCCCAGTGCAGAAGGGCTGGGACAGATCAGGTGACTTGACCAGTGTAGCCTGAAGTGTAAAGTCAAAGTTCACAGAGTAAATGAACTATTAGTCATCTCACAGAAGACATAATCATGGTGTGTCCTTGTGCCTTCGTCTGTAGGAGCTGTACAGCTGACCAGCCTGGCATGTGGGAATCAGCACGTCTGGGCCTGCGACTCCAGGGGTGGGGTTTACTTCCGTGTAGGAACCCAGCCTCTAAATCCCAGTCTGATGCTTCCAGCCTGGATAACCATCGAGCCACCAGTGCAGGTAAGCAGACACCAACGGTAGGCGCTTGCTCCTCCGTGTGACAGAGGTCGTCCTGGTCAAGGACCACGGCTGCCTCTCCAGGCCCCCAGCCTGGTGTGGGGAGGCAGGGTATGCTCAAGGTCGGCATCCCCAGCTTGCGTTTTGAGATGAGTGAAGCTCAGAGCTGAGTGCATTTATTAGAGATGATCTGAGCCAACACTTACATGTTTTCCATTTCAAAGTAAAATTATTTTGTTTATGAATTTTTACAAAAATGAACATTAATTTAAAAAAAATTAAATACCCTGGGGACCAGCAGGGGGCGTGGTGGTTAAGGTGCTGGACACTCCCACATGACTGACCACGGTTCAAGTCCCAGAACTGGTGGCTTGCTTTCTCACTTTCCTTCTCTCGCTCCCTGTGTCTCTTTCTGGTCAAATTAAAATAAAATGAATGAATAAATAAATAATTAATTCTTTAAAAAAAATGAAACACCCTGAAGTATAAGAAGGAAATAAAGTCACTTAAAGCCTTGTTGTGGAGGTGCTCTACTACCCGCATTTTCTGAGTGCCTTCGCACACTGGGCGCGTGAAGTCCAGACCTCCCTGGGCTCGCTGCAGTGCACAGTGCGCTGTGGAGTTTTGTCCTTCTGGCTGTCCCCCCTCAAGTCACAAGCAGAAATCTGTGTGGTTACCCGTCAAGATCTGATAGGCTCGGTTCCTATGCTAACATTTCTGTTAAAGTGTGTAATCAGGGGCTGTGATTTAATGGGTTACTTGCTCAGACTCCTGCTGGTCTCCATTTTGCAACAGAGTTGCCATGTGCTAAGGCAGCAGTAGGGTGGGGGAGTGGTTAGTCCTTCATCAGAGAATCCCTAAATGGAGACAGGGAAGAAAGCAAGAGGTCGGGTGAATGTCTGCTTCCATGACTGTCACCACATCGGGCTTTGTGAGCCCTCAGGAATGAGGGACAGAGAAAGGGACAAGGTGCAGGGCTGGTGACAGCAGCACCATCCTGCTCATCTGACCTGGGGTGTGGTGTGAGATCCTACAGTAGCACTCAGGGTCTGGTCCAGGGTTCTGTATGGACCGCTGGTTAGCCACGTTAGCCACAAAGGAGCTCCATGTCCTGGTTGTTGGAGCTTCCTCATTGACAGGGCACGGGGAGACGAATGTCAGTGGGCAGGTCCCAAGTCACGAGGTAGCGCAAGCAGGAGGTTAGGCACGGTGCCCCCTTCCTCTGCACACAGGGGCACAGTGCAGTCGGCCCACCCCACCGAGAGGCACGTTCACCCCTAGGTAGCACGAGCAGGAGGTTAGGCACGGTGCCCCCTTCCTCTGCACACAGGGGCACAGTGCAGTCGGCCCACCCCACCGAGAGGCACGTTCACCCCTAGGTAGCACGAGCAGGAGGTTAGGCACGATGCCCCCTTCCTCTGCACACAGGGGCACAGTGCAGTCGGCCCACCCCACCGAGAGGCACGTTCACCCCTGCATGCAGGGATGTTGGAAGGCAAGCCGACTTATGCTTCATTTCACTGTTGTTCTTGTACCCTGTGGTGTCCATACCCAGGGGGACTCCTTTGGTATGTCGTTGTCAACGTGTTCCTTTGTTTGTTTGTTTGTTTTTGTTTGTTTGTTTGTTTTATTCTAACAACATTATGAGACTTCTTTACTTTTTTCCTTTTTTTAATTTGTCAGAGGGCACACGCTCACCTAAGATACAGAAAAGCAATGACCATGAGGATGGCCATTCCGCAGTCTCTTCTCAATCTCGCCCTCCTTTTGGAATTTTAGTCACACACGCACTTGACTTGTTTCTCAAGCAGCCGGGTCCAAGACGTGAACCACATTTGGCCATGTGGGATCCAGCTGCCTTAACCATTAGTCCACCAGCTGGCTCTCTAGTATTTCTTTTTTGTTTCTTTTTTTTTTAGAGAATTTTTGTTATAGGGTATGTGTACTTGCTGGAAAGACAGAGAGACAGAAAGTGAGAAATCACCCCCCAGGAGGGATGGCCATGCCCCAGTCCCTTCTCTGTTTTCCTATCAGGATTTTGGGCATGCCCACACATGTACCTAGTGTTAGTTTCAAGTCACTGGGTCGAGGATTCAGACCACAGTGGGCCTTGTGGCAATCCAGCACCTTAACCACTATACCTCCTGTTGGCCCCTATTTCTTTTCTTTTTTTTTTTTTTTTTTTAAGATTTATTTATTTGATTTTATTTGTTTTTATTATGTTTTTAATTTGACAAGAGAGAGAGAAAGAGCAAGTGAGAAAGTAAGACACCAGGTCTTGGACTCTAACTGTGGTTGGCCCTGTGGGAGTCCAGCGCCTTAACCACCACACCACCTTCAGCCCCATGCCCCTATTCCTTTTAATAGTTAAAACTTACTATGAAATTCTTCCTTTCACAGTATACAACTTAGTGGGTTTTAGTGTATTCACAAAGTCGTGCAATAGTTACTGCTAACTAATTCCAGAACATTGTATTACCCCCAAAAGAACCCTCGCCCATTAGCAGTCACTTCCTTTCCTCCCAGCCCCTGGCAGCCACTGGCCTACTTTCTACCTCTGTAGATTTGCTTGCTCTGGACATTTCGCGTTAACGGGATCGTACAGCGTATAGCCTTTTCTGTCCCATGTCTTTCACAGTAGTGTGTTCAGTTTATGCACATGGTGGTCGCACGTAGCAGTTCTTCATCTCCTTTCGTGAGTGAATAGCACCATCGTATGGTAGACCAGGTTGTCTGTTCATTACTTGATGGATATTTGGTGGTTTCTCCTTGGCTACTATGAATATGTAATGCTGCTGTGAGCATTTGTGTAGCGTCTCTGAAGATGTACGTTTTCAATTCTGATGGGGATATAGACACCTGTAAGTAAATCCAGGGTCATATGGCGATTATACACTTAGTGTTTTAAGAAGCTCCCTGTTGGGGCCAGAAAGTGGCATGACGATTAAGGTACTAGACTCCTGCATGGCCGACCGTGGTTAGAGCCCCAGACCGAGTGGCTTGAAAAATTATGCCAGTCATGTGTGCGTATGTGCCCAAAGTCCTAGGAGGAGAATGGAGGAGAAGATATTGCAGTGTGGCATCTCCTTGGGGGTAGTTTCCCACTTCTCTCCCTTTCTCTGTCCCTCTCCTTCAAGTGCAACCCACCCCCCCACCCCA